GTGCAGTATGATGCCTTCTACATGGAACACAAGCTGAGTGCAGCCGAGTACCTGAAAAGCATGCGATTCCGCGGCATTAACGTCATCTCATCTCCGGAGATTGGTTTCTTGAAGAGCATCGGCAAGGACGCAGGAAGGGCCAAGACAAAGCTCATATTCGAGTTCAAAGACCCTGAGGCAATTGAACCCACTACCATCAAGAAGTACAGTGAGCTTCAGAAGAACCTCGCAGCCATCAAGGCCTTTGCTTCAGGCGTTATTGTCCCCAAAGACTACATTTGGCCCCTTGACTCGGCTAAGTACCTTAAGCCCGCCACCACCTTTGTAATTGATGCCCACAAAGCCGGTCTAGAGGTCTATGCTTCTGGATTTGCCAATGATTTGCGCACCAGCTTCAACTACAGCTATGATCCCTCTGCTGAGTATCTCCAGTTTGTGGACAATGGCGAGTTCTCTGTTGATGGCGTCATCACCGATTTTCCGCCAACAGCATCACAAGCCATCAGTGAGATGACTTGCTAGCCTATGTATTCTTCAAAAACTTGATTAATACAACAAAGTAATAACGTCCAACGTGTTTGTCTTCTTGCAGCTTGCCTTTCTCACCAAAAGGGCAATCTCCCCAAAGCAGCACATGCTCTAGTTATAACTCACAATGGTGCAAGCGGAGATTATCCAGGCTGCACCGATCTGGCTTATCAGAAAGCGGTCGACGATGGAGCAGACATTATCGACTGCTCTGTTCAAATGTCTAAAGACGGAATAGCCTTCTGCCGTGACTCTGCAGACCTCACAGCAAGCACCACTGCCATGACTACTTTCATGTCCCGAGCCATCAGTGTTCCTGAAATTCAGCCTAATAACGGCATTTTCTCCTTCGATCTCACATGGGCTGAGATCCAGTCTCTAAAGCGTAAGAAACTCATTCTTTTTTCTAAAGTTTTCTGAAAACATCTCATTCTCAACTATTTTACTGAGGTTGAGATCTTTGTCTTCAGCTCAAATCGGGAGCCCCTTCTTGGCTTCCACGGGCTTCCCGAGAAACCCAGCACAAAAGAATGCCGGGAAGTTTATGACTCTCGCTGATTTCCTCGAGTTCAGCAAAGCAAAGGCAGTCACTGGAGTTCTTATCAACGTCGAGGCAAGCCTTTTTTATTTATTTTAACTCCTAAATGCTCCCTTAACTCTCTCAAGGCAGCTCCACTAATGCCTTGCTTGTTGACAGAACGCTGCTTATTTAGCCTCAAAGAAAGGCCTAGGAATCGTAGACGCAGTCAAGTCAGCTCTGACTAATTCCACACTCGATAAGCAATCAACCCAGAAGGTTTTGATTCAGTCAGATGACAGCTCGGTTCTAGCCAGTTTTGAGGCTGTTCCTCCGTACACTAGAGTCTTGACCATAGAAAAGGAAATTGGAGATGCTCCCCAACCATCCGTCGAAGAAATCAAGAAACACGCAGATGCCGTCAATCTAATGAGAAGTTCCATTGTCTCTATCTCCGAAAGCAGCTTTGCCACAGGAAAAAACAGGGTGGTGGAGGAAATGCACAAGGGGAATATCTCTGTTTACGTCTCTTTACTAAGAAACGAGTACATCGCCATAGCTTTGGACTACTTCTCTGATCCCACGATAGAGCTTGCCACATTCATTGCAGGGAGTGGCGTTGATGGAGTCATCACAGAGTACCCTGCCACTGCAACCAGATACTTAAGTAAGTTCAAACCTCTACAAGAAGATCATGAAAGAACAATATTTACATAAATCAAAAATAACGCTGATCATTTACGTTCGATGCAAATGGATGCAGGGAGTCCATGCTCAGATTTGGATAAAGAACAGCCCTATGCCATCTTACCCGCAGAGGCTGGCGCTCTACTCTCCGCGGCAGCCAAGGAAGCACAGCCCCCCGCAAGTGCCCCAAGCCCGCCTCTTGACCCCAAAGATGTGATTGACCCGCCTCTGCCTCCGGTTGCAAAGATGGCCTCCTCCAACTCAAGTGGAGAAGCTCCACCAAATGCCCCTCCTCGTTCAGGCACCGTTGCCAACGCTGCTAATCTCGGCCTTTCCATACTGGCAGTGCTGGCCTTGGGACTCCTCTCTGCTGCCTAATAGAGATTGATACACATGTTGTCGTCAACACCCACCCCTCTCGTTTATGCCATATGTTTGTATCATAAGCTACCACA